TTACAGATGGACAAAGTGGGCACAAACTGTTATCACCAGTGTATGTTAGTGGAGAAGTCTGATTTTGTACCCACTTTACACAAATGCAAATGACTACACAACTGCCAACAGTTAAGAATCATGCCCTTTGGGGCTGTAGAGACAGATCAGAGTTGAGAACCATAGCCAAACTGGTAACAAAAATGAGTGTTATGCTAGGGGAACTGATCACTGCTGGGGACACAGTGTCTGGTTCTCCTAGCTTCCACTGGTTGCAGCAGCAATTGATTGAAGCCTCAGAATTGTGCTAATACACAGCGACATTAAGAAAAGTTTTAGATTCAGCTTTTTGCATTGGCTGTTCATTTTTTCATTTATGTATTTTTAGTAACACTCACTTTCACAGGGCTGGGGCAGGGGGTTGGGGTGCAGGAAGGGGTGTGAGCTCTGGGCTGGGGCCGAGAGGTTCGCAGTGTGGGAAGGAGCTCCAGGCTGAGCCTGGGGCAGGGGGCTGGGGTGGAGGGAGGGGATGAGGGGTGCAAGTTCGGGGAGGGAGTTTGGGTGCAGGAGGGGGCTCTGGGCTGGGGCACAGAGTTGGGGTGCAGGAGGGGGTGCGGACTCTGGGAGGGAGTTTGGGTGCCGGAGGGGGCTCCGGGCTGGGGCAGGGCACTGAGGTGCATGAGAGGGTTCGGGGTGCAGGAGGGGGTATGGGATGCTGACTCTGGGATGGGGCTCAAGGCTGGGGCAGGGGGTTGGGGGTGCAGGAAGGGATATGGGGTACTGGCTCCAGGAGGGGGCTCAGGGCTGGGGTGTGGGCACCCACTGGGTGGCACTTACCTCGGGCAGCTCCTGGGCAGTGGCACAGCAGGGCTAAGGCAGCCCCTGCAGCTCCCATTCACCACAGTTTCCTGTTCCCAGCCAATGGGAGCTGCAGGGACGATGCTTGCAGGCAGGAACAGTGTGGGGAGAACCCTCCCCGCTGCAGGGAGGTGCTGGCTGCTTCAAGGAGTGGCACGGAGCCAGGGCAGGCAAGGAGCCTGTCTTAGCCCCGCTGAGCTGCCAGATTTTTTGTGACTGGAGATCACGATTGACTGTCAGAGGCTCCAGGATTGACCAGTCAATCATAATTGAATGGCCCATCAACAAAAACAGTGGGCCACGGGAAAAGTTTATCTTCACCTCATGATCTTTCCTGTGGATGCTTCAGTAATGGCTGCTAGGACTCATTGAAGCATGCAAAGGCATGGGACTAGATCAAGGACGGGCAAACTTTTTGGCCTGAGGGCCACATCGGGTTTCCAAAATTGTATGGAGGGCTGGTGAAGGGAGGCTGTGCCGCCCCAAAAAGCCAGGCATGGCGTGGCCCGGCCCCCTCCCCCATCCAACTCCCCCAAGAGCTTGCTGCCCCGCTGCCCAGAGCATTGCATCGGCGGCAAAGTGAGCTGAGGCTGCGGGGTGGGGGAACAGCAGGGGAGGAGCTGCCTCCCGGACCAGGAGCTCAGGGGCCAGGCAAGAGGGTCCCATGGGCCAGATGTGGCCCGCGGACCGTAGTTTGCTCACCTATGGACTAGATCGTGTGATACTGAACTCCATCTTCTTGCTTGTACTTTTCCACAAACTGTGCTGGGGGTTTGGCTTGAAACAAAGAAGTTTCCATCCACATGGGAAGAAGCTATAAAAGCGGGAAGTGACATCACCACTGGACCTCACTCCCCCTACAACACAACACCTGAGGAACAAAGACTGAACTGGGGAAGAGGGTCCCAGGTGGGACAGAAGAAGTCCACCTTGTGTATGCAAAAGCTATAACCTGCTTGTACTAGTTTACAGGATGAGACACTGCTTGATTCAAATCCTATCTAGTTTATAAAGCTTACATTGCATTTTGTTTTATTTCTTTGGTAATCTGCTTTGATCTCTATGCTCACTACTTATAATCACTTAAAATCTTTCTTTCTGTAGTTAATACATTTGTTTTGTATTTTTTACCTAAAACAGTGTGTTTTGCTAGAAGTGCTTGGGGAATCTGCTCAGGGACAAAAACTGGTATATTATCCTCTCCACTTTGGGGGAAAGGTGGACTGAATAACAAACCGATACAAGCCAGGCTTTTGACCAGTTTATATAACTGCAACTGGGTGTGTCCCTACCTGTGTAAAGGTTTGTGTGCTTGCGGGAGCAGGAGTGGTCTGCAGTTTGGCCCAGATTGGTATGCCAGAGGTACCCCAGTTCCAGGTTGCACCTCAGGGAAGTCAGTCACAAACCCTGATAGTTCAATTTTCGCAGACTTAATCCCTGGCAAAATGGCAACAAGAGGATAATTATTTTGACTGAACTGCCACAATTATACTTCTACAAAGAAGTAGGCTGTATCACATAGGTTGACGGCTGAATTACTTTGGGTTAATTTTGATTTTTGGTTTAGTGTGTGGCTATTGGGTGGTGTTGGAGGCAGGTGATATATCCAAGGTAAGACAAGATGATCTGGTGGTCTCTTCTGGCCTTAAAACGTCTGGATATGTATACACCTGTGGTTGGCCCATTCTAGTCGACTTGGGCTTGTGGAGCTTGGCCAGCAAGGCTGTTTCATTGCCATGTACATGTCTGGGCTCGGCTGGCACTTAGGCTCTAGGACCCTGAAGGGTGGTAGGGTCCCAGAGCTTGGGCTCCAGCTGAAGCCTGGAAGTCTACATGGCCATTAAACTGCCCCACAGCCCAATCCCCACAAGCCCGAATTGGCTGGTACAGGCCAGCCATGGGTTTTTCTTTGCTGTGTAGACATACCCTATGACTCTAAAACAGACTTTTTATTCTGACTGTGTACTGTAGGGCACAGTATCACTTCTGCAAACTCTTGTTTATACAGGCCAAATTTCTAAGCTTTGCTCCATTGTACATAAAATAAACAAATGGAATATATTTACCCGTGTCATTTAAAAATTGCATTCTCCTAGGTTGCTGATTGTGCTGGCTGTCATCTCCATCAAATATTGTCAGCTGCAAACATGACATTGCAGTGAATGATATGATGCCAGCTGTAATTAAAAATCTACAATGCTGTAGAGCAGCTTTGTTAACTTCATTTATTACATTTTAAATTGTCATGTATTGGCAATTTGTCATTGGCATTGACTTCCTCCCTGACAGCCAAGATTACTACTCTAACAACTGGCCGATTCTTCATTGCCTCTTTCATGCTTGTCTTTCTCTCTTTTTGATGTTCACTATTTGGAATCATGGCACCTCCTGATAATAGACTAGAAACAAGAGGAGGAGGAAGGGACAATTGTTGCAGAAAGAGGTGAATAAATGGAGCGAGCGAACAAGGAAAAGGAGGAAGAGAAATTAATAGAAAGAGATTACATTGGGGAAGAGGAGAATAAAAGTTAATAAGAGGAAAACTGAGAAAGCTAAATGACTAAGGAAAACAAACAGGCAGCTGTAGGAAGAATGGGGAAAATGGAGTGAAAGAAGACGAAAACAATGGAGACGGAGGGCTCAATTCTGCAAGCTGCTGAGCTGTCCTAAGTAGTGCTGAGTGCTCTCCATTCCCATTGAATTACGTGGGAGTTGGGATCGAGCCCAGAGTAAGTAACCAATACAAATTGTTTCAATAAATGTTGTTTAATAGATATTACAAGAGTATTTATTATATCAGTTGATGTGAGGACAGAGGTGTATATGCTGTGGTGGCTTGAGTGATATGCTGGGAATGGGAGGTGACAGAAGTTGAATATTGTTTCCTATAATAACTTAAGGGAGGGAAGAACCTAGTTTGGTATTAGGAGATAAAGAGTATTTTTAAGATTTTGATCTAATACTTCAGAATTCTGGCCTCAATTCAGGCAGGTACTTAAGCAGGTGCATAATTTTAAGTGTGAATAGTTCCAGTGAAGTTCATTCTGACGCATTAGGGCAATTCATTAAATGTTAGAAGAATTTAAGACACTTCAAACCAACAATTTTATTCAAGGAAAATGAAACTTACCTCGTATTACCAGTAAAATAACTTGCTATACTCTTTGCTAAGCAATAACTCGGTAATAAATGGAACTGTGAACTCCATTATTAAAAAAAACCTGTCATTGCTTTTTGTTGTAATGAAGGATGAGTTCTGAGAAAATGGGAAAGTGCATGTGGACTTACTCTAAGATTGACAGAATTTTGACACTGTGGTGTGCAAGCACTGTTTTACTTTAGTGGGACAACTCACATGTTTAAAGCTACACATGTGCCTAAGTGTCTTGCTGAATCACAGCCTTTATGGTGCTTGATTCTTAACCACCTCTCCTGCTCTTTATCCCCCGCAAGCATGTACACATCTGTTACAACCCTGCATCCTGATAAAATTTAACAGTATGTACAGAAGAAAGAAATGTTTGGATGTGGGAAGCACCAAGGATATACTCTTTCTCAGATCCAAACACCCCCTCACCAATGTCCAATATACCCAATCTCTCACATGCACTCACATTCATAATTTAGCTCAGCTACTTTTGGGCCTACATGGGAACATGAACTCCTTAAAATACATTACTTCACATCTCTTTTTCCATGTTCTACCCTATCTTTGTCAGATGATACAATATCACATTGCCACAGGAGAATAGGACTCAACAGCATACCATGCCAAAATCCATGAGCTTCTCCTACTTTAATCTGTTCTAACCACTGTTCATGAGCAATTCATTCAATCTGTCTTGAATTTGGAATGAACCATGAAATCAGTAACATTTCCCAGTGGTTTAGGCTAAGTTATGAACAGTTTGAGCCTCGATGGCTCAAATCCCCATTAACTGAGGATCTAAGTAATTATTTCTTTTTATTTTAAATCTTTAGGAATGTGTAAATTCTTTGAAGGAAGAAGGATACATAAATATAAGTTCTAAATATACAAAGGGTTTTTGAAGCCTTTGCAGCATAAGAATGACATATCCAACACTGACTCCCCCTTTTACCTCTAAACCACTATAAAAATTAAAAAAACAAACAAAGAAATACAGTAAAATAAATAGCCCTACCTTCCAAAAATGGAGATGTGCCAGAGATTTCACAAAGTCCACTAGTGACTGTGCTATTGCTATTGAAGCTACATGGAACGTGTTTAGTCACCATGGTACAGGCAGCAGTATAAAACCTGAGAAAGAGAGACTTTTAAAACATTTTAATGAAATCTGTATAGAAACACAGTAAAAACAAGAAACTAAATTACAAATTCTAAAACAGTTTCCCATCCCAAACAGTTCAAAGCTCATTTCCAATAGCCTACCATTGAATACATTGATATAAAAAGCATATCATATCTAAACTTCAAATGAAGTCATAAAACCCCCAGGGAGTTCAAGACCAAAGAAATATGTGAATTGATCATCCTCCCATGCTCTCAGACTCAGAGTCACTACCAACCTAAAAGGAGCGGGTAGGGGAGAGAGAACCTCAGAGAGACCAGAGGGAGGGGGCTGCTGGAACCAAGGGGGCAAAACTACTAGCAAGAATTCCCAGGGGGAATTCTCCATGACCTCAGCTAGAGACCCGCCCTCAGCAACACCCTCAACAGAGTGCTTCCCGATTGCTCTAACCAAACTAAGCCACTTCACAGCTTCCTCAGTAATTGGAGTCCCCTTTGAATTCAATGACCGCTTTTGTCTCTGGGGCTTTGCCAGCAAGCCAGAATCCTCAGCCAAGGTCACGGATTCTACAGCAACAGGCTCAGCCTCCATTCTGTAAGCAGGCTCAAGCCGAGGGATGGCAGAATCAGGATCCACAGAACCAGTAATGCCATCTCCCCCAGGTAGTAAAGAGGGCACTAATCCTCCAAAACCAGCATCCCCAGAGACATCTGGAACCAGTTGGGACCCAGTCTCTGCCACAGTCACCCCTCTCTGTACTTTACTCTCAGAACCCCCAACATTCCCAGATGCAGGGTCACCATTCCCAGCCTCTTCTGAGGGCACTGCTAGACTAGACATGTCAGACTCCCACAACACAGACAAGCCAGGTCCTCAGCGGAAACAAACACAGTGTAGTCACACTCCCCAATCCTGTATTTCAGGGCAACTTTTAAAATTTTGGACGCATTTTTTAGTATCATACAAACCTGCCTATGAAAGGATAAGACACGACAAACCTCTGGGAATTTACAGGCCAACGGAATTCTCCTAATAGGGCTAGTGATTTTACCATAACTTGCCAGGTCACTAACCAGTGGCTCATTTCCTAAAAAAGGGGTGGACATTAAAGATAGTGACTTTAACAGCATGTGATCAGAGGGGCACTACAGGGACAAAGCCACCGTGCATAACAATCCCCTTCACAACCACCTGCTCAAAGAAGGTTAAGCATGGCAACAAATGCAATAACAGTCTTGCTCATGCAGGAGGCAGATCTCACATTTTTAAACCGAATCACCTTCCCCACACTAGAACTCATTCCTCCACAGGGGCAAAGTCTGGAGGCAAAATCCACAAACCATTACAACAACAGGTTAAATCTACAGTATCCACAAAAAAAACTAAAGTCTCTGTTGCCTTGGCCTGGCCATGTCAGCCCAGAGGGCAGACAAAAGCCTGCTAAAGCAAAAGAAATCCTGAAACTAACCCTACAACTGCCACAAAAAACCAAAATCCCATTCCCAACAGCAGCAAAGAGAGAGAGAGCAACAAAGCATATCCCCTCTCAGCAGAGAGAGAGAGAGAGAGAAAGACGTGGCAATATCCAAGGGAAGGTATACTGGGGGACCTGGTCAGGCTCATATTGTGTCTTTAATGGTCAGGAAATTCTCCCTACAAACTACAATCAAGCAGCCACAGTTTCAAAGAACAAACAAGAATAATCATTTGGACTAGAAACGTATTTCCCTTTATTCTCTCTATTTCCAGTGCTAAACAGTGTAGCAAAATATAACACACAGTTACCTCAATCCTGCAAATTTCTGCATACAGACAGACTGCTGAGCCCGCACATAATCAGCAAAGTCACTGGGCCTCCATGCAATTCAGCAGTCCATTCACATACAAGTTGCAGGATCAGGACCAATTCTTTTCCCTGGCATTACTATCCATGCATATGCTTCTGATTGTGATTTGAGTTTCTTTTTGTCAAGCTTAGCCTTCAGGTGCTTTATGTAATTAAAAAAATATATCTGAAATAAAGTTCAGGCTCCCCCTGAATTCCTTTTTGTTTTGATTAGATTTATACAACTGAAATTGAAATGGTCCGGAGACAAACAGCATAGTTACATCTGTCCAGGCAAAACAGGAGGACACAAAGAAGAAAATCCACTCATCTGTAGGAAATATCTTTAAGGATTTTACTTTTCTCACTTCAGCTTTACACTACTGTGCACTGGAATTTATCTGGCAATGGAAACCAGTACATGATACAGCACTAGACCTACAAAGGAGGCTTCCTTGCCAGGAGCACACTACATCCGTGCTTAAGGAGCTACATGAGCTGCCCATTGGTTTCTTGGTGGAGTTTAAAGAGTTCGTTTTTAAAGCTTATACAGCCCAAATGGGGTTGGAACCGCTTCTTGCTCTTTAGAGTACTGCTATAGTTAGAATCAGCACAGGCACTTGAGCTGTGTCCCCCTGGATTTAAAGTGAGGCGCTACTGGCAGGGAGTTTTAAATGAAGGGCTCTTGCCTTTGGGGACTTACCTCCCCCCACCCTTGCTTTGAAATAGGTCAGCAACTCTGGGCTATCTATCCACTGAAGCTTTGAGAAAGGGGCAGAGATGAATGAGGGTTGTAATCTTCTGGCAACATGTGACATTTTGGGGGGGGGGTGGCGTTGGTTAGCACTGGTCATGGGAGTGAAAATACACTGCTGGTTTTTAAATCAAAATAAATACAAACCCCTCTAGGGCTAAAATGGTTAGTCTTTCGGGTCCCCCCCAATACTGTTCCTGTTTGAAATCTCATAATTTTAGCAAAACTCATGATTTTTTTTATGCCTGTCTCATGATTTTTGAGCACATGGGTTTGGCAATGCTAAGGAACTGTTGTAAAATATATCTTGGATCAAAGGCTGGGGAGGCTAGAGGACTCAAGGTACTCAGGACAAATGTATTGATCCTCAGTCATAATGTGCATGTTACTAAGATTCAGTACACTTCCTCAGAGAGTTCAAAGGGTTAAAATGAACTGGTTTCAATTCATTTATTAAAGATTATATGTAAATACATGCTCTTTCCAATCAATTTATGCCAAATAATAGCATTTAGTGTAAGATTATATATGTAAATGCATTCACTTTCTGATCAAAATTATTCCATAAAATGGTATTTAGTGTAGACTAATTTGGAACCATGCAGTCATTTATGGACCTACTAATTTACATAAATGTTTCTTTTAAAAATAATCCACCACCTAAGGACAATCAAGCAGATAATATATGTAAAAGTGACCCAAAAGAGAAATAAATTGTAGATCATTTACCTGTGCAAACAGTACCTTTTAAAAAGTAAATTTAGAAGGTGATTTTTGAGCTGACTAGTAGAATTAATGTATTTTCACCTAGTTCAAGCTGTTGTTATGAGAAATGGCATCAAATTGTAAATAATAGTTTTCATGCAATTTTTTTCTTTGCAAATTTTTTACTTCTGTTAAATGGAATTTTGGGGGGTTATTAATTGCTTGATGATAAATGGCAAATTTCAGGAAAATAGGCTGTCAAACACATATTTATAACCACAATAGATAGAACTATGATGCATGCATTTTACATCACTTGTAACAATTTCACCTTATAAATAATAAGAAAGCTTTTTTGTTTATGACTAAAATAATATACTTCTGAATTGCCATCATCTCTATCTGAAAATTCCCACCAATAGCATAAGTCCTAAAGCAAAGTTATTAATACATTATTATTAATAATATAATATATTTAGCACTTATCTGTTGTTGTCTGATGATCTCTGAGTAACCTACAAACAATGAATTAAACATAGAAATTTTGCCAAAGACAAAAAATTGAAACAAAATCTCTCTCTCAATATCTGATGTTTCCTATGTCTTGATGTCTGCACAGTTTTAACAATTTTGTTTGGAATATCTTATAAAGTTTCTTTACTAAAGGTGTGGGAGAGGTGTATTTCTGAAAACTGGAATTTGCTGTCTCTCTGAGAAGTTGTCCACTAGCAGCACAGCTGTCTTTCTTGATTATGTGGAGGGATGCTCAGCCAATCAGTGACCCAGAAGACCTCTCATATCACTTACACTATACCACCTTTGCCACAAAGTTTCACAACAAACCTAAAATGAAAGCATAAATCTCAGTTTCTATAAGTTAATGCCTATTTAGATACAGCAAAATACTGCAGCTGAGCGGTTTATAAATTCAATTTTGTTTCCATGTTAGAACCTTAAACTAACTAAGTTTTGCCTGGGTGGACTTCCCAGAGTTTCACTTTCATAACAAAGTATGGAACCATTTGGCTTCCAATGTGGTTTTGGGATTTTTTCTGAAGCTGTTGCACACCTCTTGTCATTTTCTTGGGCAGTTACGTAGTGGCATCAGAAATCACAAAGCCCAGGATAACAGAAAAACGGTAATAATCCCTATTATAAATTTCTGTTGTAACACTCTGTGATAAAAAAAAGTTCCAGTTTCTGCCTACTCACACAGCTGCAGCAATGATCAAGTCTGTGGGATCCCTGCCATGACATTTTAGAAAGAGTCTGAACACTACAATGTGTAACATCTTCCAGTGTAATAGTTCGGTTCAAATTCCAGTGTTGCTAACTGAGATCAGAACTAGAACTGGACAAATAACTATTTTTGGTTCACTGGCAGTTCTGAATTTTTTTTATTTTTTTGTTAAAAAAATAAATAGGGTGGGATTGCCCCAAAATGAAACTTTTTGGAATTGTCCGTGAACGAAGTAGTCAGAGGAAAAAAATCAATATGAGACAAACACAATGTTTCTTCAACCTGAAATGAAATATTTCATTTTGACTGCACATTTTTAAAACTTCTAAAATAAAATTTCAGTTAATTTTGAAACAAAATGTCATTTTGAATCAAAATGTTTCATTCTGATAATGTCTAAATGAAACATTTTGATTTTTTCTGTTTTTGTTCTCACTAAAACAATTCAACAAAAATGACACATATTCGCAAAATCTTTCAGTGTCAACAAATCTGCATTTTTCATCAAAAAAAGTTTGGCCAAAAACGTTTGGCCAGCTGTAGTCAGAACTGTGCTAAACACAACCATGTTCATACATGTTTATTTCTAGCGGAGATCTAAGATGGTTTTCTTGATGGATGTGAACAGGAATATTTTGTCTGAGAATTATGCTAGATTTGTACTAAAAAACCCTTCTACTGACTATCTAGTGGACTATCTAGCGGTCAGAAAATTACTGACATTACTTAGAAAGAAAAGGAGGACTTGTGGCACCTTAGAGACTAACAAATTTACTTGAGCATAAGCTTTCGTGAGCTACAGCTCACTTCATCGGATGCATTCAGTGGAAAATACAGTGTATTTTCCACTGAATGCATCCAATGAAGCACTGTATTTTCCACTGAATGCATCCAATGAAGTGAGCTGTAGCTCACGAAAGCTTATGCTCAAATAAATTTGTTAGTCTCTAAGGTGCCACAAGTACTCCTGTTCTTTTTGCGGATACAGACTAACACAGCTGCTACTCTGAAACCTAACATTACTTAGGAAAAACATGAAGGACTCTAGCTAATGGAGTTCATATGATTCTAATGTGATAGTGATCAGATTTTATTTACAGTTCATGTGGAACTGGGTTCAAAGTCTCAAACAGGACCAACTTCCAACCTTTCTTAGATTCTTTGTGATATATTTTTCTTTTCCTCCTGGGAACACATTGTAAAGACTTGTTTTAAGATCTTGGCACCTAAAAATGAAAAAAGGGTTCATAAACATATTTTTTCCTTTCTTTTCTGTGCTCCTCGACTGCTCTCCCACAATATAACCTCATGTACTGCCAATTTGAAAAGGTTCCTTATCTAAGGTAGGAACTGCAATAAATTACAGGAAACATGGAACAAGTTTCAGGGGAGCAATCAGCATGAGAGGCTCAGAGCAACGTAGTAGAACTAAATTTCCTTTTGAGGCACTCTTGCGTTAGCCTCCTGTCAGGTATTTAAGCATGGACTTTGAACATTTAAGGTTGTACATTTTCAAACCATATGTTTAGGTCTGTAAGAGTATACTTAATCTCCCTTTCATTATCCAGAAATCCTTCCAATCTTACTTCTTCACCTGCCCATACACACACACACACACACACGGTGCAGCACAAAGCAGCCAGATCATAGCAGAGGATCAGAACCGAGGTTTGTGCCTGATCCCATAAGTCAAAGGCAAAGCTCCCATTAACTTCATTCAGCAGAAGCAGGACTGGGACCCCTATTTGTTAATAACCTATTCAAATAGTGGCAGCAACAAGTGAAAGATTGGGCTGACAACCATTTACATGCAAGTATGACCTTTATACTCAATGGTGACATTTGTATCCTATTAGCAAAATACTGTATTGTATTTAAGCAATAATTGCATTTTCTATGGAGACAAATGACATGTAAATCAATAAATGATGAGGCTGCATACCAAGCACATTATTGATTTTCCGTCACATTAATCTCTGAGCTTAATGCTCAAGAAAATACAATTTATGCTATGATTTTTAACAAGCTGCATCTTTTGGACTAGATAAAAGTTTTATGGCAGTTGATAAAGGTTTTCTCCAACTGAGAAAAACAAGATTAAAAGAAAAAGAGTCTAACTACAATTGGAGTGGATCCAGAGAAACTCCAAAGTAAATGGTGAATAAATCAATAGTGACTCAGATGACACCCTTATTATCTATTGAGTCCTTCTGGTTGATCAGATCATACACTTATATCTGTATTTAACCACTGATTAAGTGCAAAATCATGCACTCTTCCCTCCCCCTGTCCCCAAAAGTAGTTTGTTTTAGTAAAATTGATCCAGTGGAGGCCCAGCTGGTATTGCTCTTCTCTGTGAAAGGTAAGCTCAAATGGTTCAAATCCCAGACCAAATCAGAGGCTACCATTGTAGTGAGATGCCAGAGAATGACACACATTGAGAAGTGTCTTCCTGAAACATTAAGAGTAAAATCCTTTCTGCTTTTCTGGTAGCTGTCTAACTAATGATTTTTAAGTTCCAAAGCATTTATTGGGAAGAGAAAGGAACAACCTCCGTGTCTTGGTCAGCTAGGGAGGTTGTTTGTGCTTCCTCAGTTTTGCAAGTCCTGGAGGCCAATTCAGCAAGGGCAGCCAAGAGTGCTGCTATAAATTTAATGCTAATTTGGTCTATATATAACATCCATATTAGTGCCCTGTATCCCTTAAAAGCAGATCAGTGAGCATGAGGAGAAAAAATTGCAATACATACACACACAATCTAGAAATTTACAAGTGATCTCTACTACAAGAGGTGCCAAGCTATTATTTGTAAATATGAGACAAGACGTTTAGATGCCTCTCAGGGTCACTAGATATAGTTAATTAATTACACTCCAACTAGTGCATCATTGCAGTAAAAATGCTGAACTTGTCTAGTCCTCCTCCTAAATCAGCAATAAGACCATTTCTTGAGAATATTTAAGGGGATTTAGTCAGCCTGGTTTGCGATGTTCTTCTTGTATATTTCTCTGTGACACCCATGATTTAATATTACACTTTTTTCAATTTATTTACTTTGACTTGAGTATACCATCATGTGGAAGAAAAACACCTATCACTGTGGCCATAAATGTCAAGCAGCACAGCTCAGCAACTTCTCTTATATAAGGAATAATGTTGCAATATTCTTACACCCTGACCAAATCTTTCTGTAAGTTTATGGAAGGAGCAGACTCAAGTGTTTATGTTTCTTCTGCATCTTTCTCATTTTCTCTTGCTTGGGAGTTATTTAATTTATTAACATGGACTATACACTCTGTGCCGTCAGTTAACAAATGTGGCTATCTTCACTGCGGCCATTTTGGTAAGTGTCTGCCGTTGTACAGACCCCTGAGAAACATCACAGGATCCTACAATGGAACCATTGGGCTACGAAACTTTTCATCTAACTGCACTCTAAATTCATTGATCTACCTGTGTCTCTGTATATATAATCACTCAAACAGAAGTAAAGAAAGATAGTTCCTTTAAGAGTCTCTGGTCCTAGTGAGAAATATACCTGAGTAGTTTAATTCTCAACAGTAATAATAATCATACAACATTCCTGCAGTAATGCATCTGATTTTGAGCTAAATGATGTATGGCAGTTTGTTTTCACAATGCATGTTTTTGTATTCATTGTGCCTTATTGTGTAAGTCACCTCTATCAAATCTTGTATTTTATGTATAATATATGCCTGTGTTTTGTGAATAAGACTATATTCTTCACTCACCAGTCCTTTAGTATTTATTTCCTATTGTTATATAAAATATTTCTTGAGTGGCTGAAAGAGGATTAGAATAAATCAATTATAGAAATAATATTGTGTATATTATTCATAGTGCAAAGATACTTTGAATACTATTAGCGGTAGACTCTGATTTATGTTTTATTGAGAGAAAGAGAGAAAGAAAGAACAATGTCTCAGGTAAAATTTTCAAAAGTGCCCCTTGACTTTCAGTGAGACATAGTGCCTATCTACACTGCCACACAGGTCAGACTATTGATGTGTGAATAGCAATACGCACCAAGTGCTGTGAAGTAACTTCCCCCGAGTGGATACTGAATTAGAAGGTTCTTAGTAGTCCTTTATTAATGTGAACTAGGAGCCTTTTAGTTTGCATCTACAGCATCCAGATGGAGGAGTTACAGATCAGCACTGTGGTGCACATTACTATTCACATCCCCATAGTCTGAACTGCAAGGTGGTGTAGACATAGTCTAAGGCCTACTTATATGTCTACATTGAACTCAGA